CTCAGCTCCCGGCTGCACCTCCGCTGGAGGCTGCTCCGAGGTGGCCCCCTGTAGCTCCTAGGGGCGGCTCGGACCCAGTGGGCTTCCCGGCGCTGGGAATCCTGGAGTTCCTTTTGTCTGTCTGCGAGCCGAGGCCGGAACTGTAGGCAGACACCCACCAGCACTGAAGCACACTGCTCCTGGTTCCTTTCCTGCCTCGGCAGGGAGCTCCCCAGCAGCCTTTTCTCGGGCCTAAGTGGAGACTCTGTTCCTTTCCCCCATCCTGAACCGCCGTCCTTGGTTCAGAAAAAAGAAAGATCCACCTTTTAACTTGCGTTTGATGTAGCATTCATGTAATCATGTAAGAGCAATCATCCAATTTCCCCTTATTTTTTTAAACCAGTTCCTATCCGGCTGCAACCCTGTATTCTTTCCTTAGATTTTGCAAACTATCAACAAAGAAGTGTGGCTAGTCAAGTAGACAGAGTCCTTGACTGACTGGACTGTGCAAGTTAATAGAGCTTCCTTGGTGGCGCTATTCTGCCGAGCCAGTTGGAAAGAGCTTTTTAGCTGGAATTACAGATGTTACTTTAGGTGCTTAAAGTATCTTTTTCCCCACTTTCCACAGAGCGGTTTTAAAAATTAGGTTAATTTGATTAAAATCTGACCGCTTCAGAAGCAAATCCATAGAAGAAGAAAAATACAAAACGGGAAATGAATTAATTTTGGGGTAATCATCCAACTTTCTGAAAGTGCCAGAGATGAAGTATGTGGATTTTTGAGATTACCTTAATTTATGAATCGTGTCCTTTGATAAGTACGTTTATTGTGTCATATTTAAGACTGAAATACTTTTGCTTGTTTCATTTTAGTTACTTATGGAAATTGTTGGTTACCTGGACATCGTAAAGTCGAGGAAGCTGTGAACAGATTCATTAAGAATCTGCTGTCGTGAAAAATGCATTTTATGAATCCTTTGAGTTAAGAAGGTGTTAACAGTGGTTTGTCATTTCTGCCACATAAGAGACTATAATCTGAAACAGTTCTGGCAGTTATGCAGATGCCTGAAACTGGCAAGAACTAGTACAGTTAGTGATCATCCTTCAACAAGAAACACAGAGCTACCTAAGTACTATATAAATGTCTTCTCGTAGATGACGTTTAAGATAATGGGCAGCTTTTCTACATCTGCATTTCAGATACAGCATTAACACTTGGAATCTGGAAAGGTATTTTGTGTTAATTGAAAGGTTGGACTTTCTTTTTAGTTTCCAGATGTATTGTCTCATCTGTAGACTTGAAACATCTACAATCACATAAGCTCCAGATACGACCATGGAGTTGTATGGTCCATCAAGATACAGCAAAAGCGTTGCTGAGCTTTGGCACCAGTCTTGTTTTCATCAGTTCAACAATTAATGTAATATGTGTTCTGCTAATCAAGAATATGGAGCCAAATAAAGTCATGCACATTCTTTTGCCAAATGGACTCTGTGGCTGTAGAATTTTACTGTGACTTGTTACTCTTCTCATTTACAGTTAGCTGAATTTGCAAATTATGTCCAAATGGATGTAGAGACCTGTGTTGATGTAACCAGATTCTAGCAAACATTGAAGATAAAAACCCTATTATGACTAATCCTTGGGAAGAGAAAGTCTGCAAAATGGCACAAACAAGTTTACTGCAAGGGAAGCAGTTTTACTGTAGAGAGTGGGTTTTCCACAAGCTCCAGCACTGCCTCCAAGAGAAAACAAACTGCTGCAACAGTACTGTCAACACACCACCCCTTGTGATGAATTCTGGGAATAATGCTAGTGCTGTCTCTGGAAAGGGAGCTGCCTGGGGTGTGTTGTTGATAGGAGGGCCTGGCAGTGGCAAGACAGCCCTGTGCACAGAGCTCTTGTGGCCAAGTTCACCTACAAGCTTGCAGAGAGGTTTACATCGCCAGGCTTTGGCCTTCCATTTCTGCAAAGCCCAGGACTCTGATACTTTGTGTGTTGGAGGTTTTATTAGAAGCCTGGTTTCCCAGATTTGCCGCAGTGGACTACTCCCAGGATATGAGGACAAACTGAGAGATCCAGCAGTCCAAAGCCTCTTACAACCTGGAGAATGCGAGAGAAACCCGGCCGAAGCATTTAAAAGGTAACAGTAAGGATGCCGTTTAGGGTGCTGTGTAATGATTAAAAGTAACTTTTTCTTTTTTTACCTTGTGAGGTGCATTTATCAGTACTGTACATTTGGGCTTCATCAGTGCTTATAATTACAGCTGTTAAGCTTTAATGAAGGAAATTTAAGTTTTGTATTGCATAGTGCATGGATTAAAGGTAAGTATAATTGTTTAATAATAGCTGAGTGTTACTTTTCTAACTGTACTTGTAAGTGATGAGGGAAATTTGTTCTTATGGTAGTGAAGAACAATTGACTCCCTGGAAACTGGGCTGCAGTTTTCAGGGAGGGTAAACTATTCTGTATGTAGAGCTCAGTTTAGAGGAACTCTCAATATAGTCTGTAGTACCTTTGTTTATAGTGGTAGTATTTCTTTAAGTGAGTTTTTTTGGGGGTACTGGGGATTGAACTCAGGACCTTGCGCATGAGAGGCAAGTGCAGTGCCACTGAGCTAAATCCCTGACCCTCAGTGAGAGTTTTTCTTTAACAGGTCATTGGCCTTGAGAATCTGGACAGATTGTACATGTTGTTTGAGATTTATTCTACTAAGAAATTAAAAATTTGGGTGATATAGTGATATATATATATATATATATATTTTAAAAGGTATCATTTTAGTACTTACAGTGATTGGTACGAAGAACCACTCATTTATCATGGAAAAATTTGCCATTTTTCCATGATAAATGGATTTGTCTATATAATTTTTTTTTTTTTTTTGTACCGGGAATTGAATTCAGGCCCTTGTGCTTGCGAGGCAGGTGGCAGAACCTCTGAGCTAAATCCCCAGCCCTATATGAGTTGTTTTTAAGTGGTTCAGATTCTGTTAAAAAACAAACTGTAATTTGTTGCAAATAATTTTTAGCCTATCACTGCTCATTGAAAAAGTACCACATACATTGTTGTCTTGTGCTTGCTATTACCTTACATCTTGAATTATTTCAATTATACACTTTTTTCTCTGCTGCAGTAACTAGTTCTTAGCAGGTAATGGTTTGTGCCTGAAGGATTATAGCATTTACAACGCACTGGAGAATTTGTGTGTGTTTCTCTGTGCATATGTACCTAGGAAGAATTTGAATGGGAATTGAATGGCAACGAAATCATGTATAAAATCTATAATGTTTGAAAAGTAGTCACAGCAAACAATGTATTAGTCACTGTTGTAAATGCCGTACAAATATTAAACTACTTAACTTTCACACTCCTGTGACGTATTATTATTATTCCGATTTTATTGATGAAGAAACTAAGGACCAGAAAGCCCGAGTAAATTGGCCAAGGTTATAGGGTAGAAGTTGGCAGAATTGAATTTTAATTACATCTGTATATATTTTTAATTATAGGAATTTTTTGAAGAACGTAATGGGAAGAGTAGAAGTTTGTGTGCAGTGAAGTTGGAAAGCAGGGGCTGTGTCAGACTGGTGTGAGTGCAGTTTTCTGATTACCCATATAAGTGATAGTGAGTGATAATGCAGCATGATAGGATTTAAACATGGAAAGGGATTATTAAAGTCAGCCACGGGATTGGTTTTATGAAGTGTAATAGTTTTGTAGACCTTTAAATAGGTAAATGCAATCTAATAAAACTCAGGGAAAATCTTTTATCTTTTGCTCTTGGCCATCAAATTCAGATTTAAAACTGTTAGCATCATTTGTAAATCCATGAGGAAATCTGTTAATGTGTATGGCACAGATGTGAACTGCCAGGTTTGATAAGAGAATATTCAATATTGACTCACTGTATGAAGTAGTGTAGTCTTTAATAGGAAACATTTCCTATTTAAAAAACAAGATCTGAGTATCTAAACAACGCTTCCTCATTGTTTTTTCTAAATATACTTACTTCAATAGTCAGTGAACCAAAATTTAATCTTTGTTTTAATTTTTGTCAGCTAATTTAGGTTGACACCTAAAACAGATCACCTTCACAGGTTAGTATAGGCTGGCCCTAAGGTAAATTTATAATTCATTGGAATTTATATGGAAATTTCTCATACCTGTTCAAATGTTTAAAATTCTAATAACTAAATTTTTAATATATTCTGATCCTAAGCTTATCTTTCACTATAGCATTGATTTTTTTTCCCCTGAAAATATTTCTCTTACTCAGATGTTCCTCCTACTTTTTTTCTGTGATTTGCAGTTACTAGCTAATTGAAGGGAAACAGAGCAGCAATTAGAGCTGTGTGTAAAACCACACCAGTACTGCTTTTCTGATTGACAGCAGATACTAATCTCTTTGTGTTCTCAGTCCATACTTCTGTATCTCTGCTTGCTTGCTTCTCTACCAGATTAACCAGCAGGAAGCCCTTCTCCAGATGTAGCCCGCAATCTTGGACTGCTACCCCCCAGAATTGTGAATCCAGTTAACCTTTGTCGCTTACACAGTACCCAATCTGAGGTTTTTGTTTTAGCAGCAGACAATGGACTAAGACAACTGCCTTTTTAAATAAGTCCTTTTGAGACTTTTCATAGGAATAAATTTTATTTAGGCAGAGGTAGATATAATTCAACAGGTAGGCAACAGGTCAGAGTCTACTGTTTTCAAAGGTAACAGTATTTTGAGGGAGATACAGGTAGGAAATCAATGTAGGCAAAGAGGAGTAAAACCTTTTTTTTACTCTGGCGAAAATAAAATCCGAAGACAGTTTATTGTGGCTTTCTTAAGATTTGATAATACCAAAGACTTGATATACATACGTATTAGTAATAGAAAATTGATAAAGAAAACATCTTAGTTATTTAAAAGTCTTCTGTAAAGCTGAAGAACTTGGAGAGAAGTGATCCATTTACTTTTGCTTTGTTTTATTTCTTAATTTTTTTGTATTTTTTTACTCTTAATACAAAACAAAATTTGTAGTACTACAAGCTGACTTACATTAAATGATATGGTTAAGTAGTAATTGTGGATTAATGTTTATTAAAACCATTTTCCTTTATATCAAAGAAAAACTGAGCCGAATGTCATTTTAATCTACATATTGCCACTTTCCCTTCTTCTGTGGCACAGAATATTTCATAGATTTAGTTTTCACCGAATTTCTTCCAACATTCATTCATTAATTCTTACAGCAGATATTGAAAAAAAGAGACTTTCTAAAAAATACTTGAGCTGAGCTTTGTGTTGACAACTTAGCACGTGTTGGACAGGTTCAAGTGGAGATGAAGCGATGAGTACAACAAACAGAAGTCCTTGCCTTCATGGAGGTTAAATTCTAACCTTAAGGTTTATTTTATTTCTATAAAGAGAGTGACATCTGAAGTAAATACTTGTTATGATTAGCATAGAATTATGTGATCTGTTAAAGGAAATGTTGAATAATGACACATTGATTTTTAAAAAATTAATTTTATTGGTACATTTAAGATATACACTATAATGACATTTATTGTTGGAACTTTCTACCTTTACGTAATCAATCCTGGTTCTTATTTTTTTCCACATCCCCCTGCCCTCCCTTCAGCCCCTCCCTCCCTATCTACAAAGACTTTGTTTCCATTATTTTTCATTTTCTCATATTCCATTCCCTTCTTTCCTTTTCCCTACCCCTCTCATTTCCCCTTCCCCTTTGTCCCTTTTCTTCCTATTTCACATCATCTATTATATCTTTTAGTCCTTATTTACACTTTCAGTTTCTCACATTGATTTTTTTTTTTTGATGGTATGCTTTTTTCATTTTGTTCTTAGCTAATAGCATTGGTTTACTTTTTTTTTTTCTTTTTATTGAGTTTATTGGTACATTCTAGGTATACAGTACAGTTACATTTATTACTGGGATCTTGTACCTCTACATGACAAGTCTTGGTTCTCATTTTTTTCCCTTTGTCCCTGTCCTCCCTTCACCCCCACCTCCCCTCCCCATTTACAAACACTTTATTTCCATTTTTTCATTTTCTCATATTTTTTTCTTTTCCCTTATTCCCTTTCCCCTACCCTTCCCACTTTCCCTACACTTTTAGTCCTTAGCATTGGTTTGCTTTTTAAAAACCCATTTCTCCTGGGTGTGGCGGTACACGCCTGCAATCCCTGCACTTGGGAGTTCAAGACCAGCCTGGGCTTGAGTGAGTTCCAGGTCAGTCTCAACTACATAGTGAGACCCTGTCTCAAAAAAACCAACCAAACAAAAACAACAACAACAAAAAAAACCCATTTCTGTTAGGAGACCAAGTAGATAATGATTACATTTTATTTCTTTTGAAAACGAAAAGCTGACTTCTTTCATTCTACATCCTCCAGAGTTTTATGTATTTTTCTCTCTTATGTGTCTTTTCTATAGTTAATGTTTGAGTTTCCTAAGGAGCCCTATAAGTAAGTGTAAAACAAATTCCAGTTATTTTTGACAAGCAGAGCAAGGATCTAAATTATAAAGTAGCCTTAGGTATCCTGTCTGGTTTAGGAGAACCGAAGATGATTCTATCAGTCAACTAGAACTAAAAGATGCTATTTCTTTCAACTAGAAACTCATTTCTGAATCTTACTCTCAATGGGCATGTAACTGAAGGGACTTTTTGGAGATTCAGATAGATATAGAACCTGGAAATAAAATCTTTGTTCCTGTTCATATCTTTCTCTTCTTTTATTTCTGTTTAACAATATTCAGGACCAAATATGACTTTTCTATATATGACACCAGTTTTCCTTTATTACTTATCAAGAGTTTGTTCTATGTACTGTTGATAGGAAAAATAAATATCTTCCCCTGAAGATAGCACAAAGTAAGTGTAAGTGGAATAAAATTATGATGGAAAATTAAAAATGAATGAATGTAGACTTTGAGAGTTTAGTAACAGAAAAGATAACATTAGTGGTGAAAAGCAGCATAACTTGTTAGACAAAGATTACAAACTCGGAGTTCAAACTGACATTTTTTTATATCAAATAGGAATCCTTGAAAGTGTGAATATTCTTTCTAACGTTTTTCTCTTTCTCTGGGAGAATTTATGGTCCTTCATTTATATCTCTGTAGGTTTGT